CTGTCTGTCTGTCTGTCTCTCTCTCCCTGCCCATCTCTCCCTCTCCCTCTCTCTCTCTCTCCGTATGTATGTGTGATTATCTGTATGTTCGTATCTATATATATATATATATATATACTTTAAATACATTTGTAGATAGATACAGATCTAGATATAGAATTAGATATAAAGATAGATATAGATAGATAGATAGATAGATAGATAGATAGACGTGCAGAGCCGCTAGAAAGAGCACTGTAGTAGTGAGGCCCGAGCATACGATAGTCATACGAGGAAACACAACAGGAAATGTAAAGCAGTGCTGTCTTGGAGTACCTGCATTCGCACACCAGTATACCAATGGCTAGTAGATGTTTGAAAGCCTTTCAACAATTTCATCTCAATGCTTCAGCACCACATAGTACAAGGCGTAAGGTTGCAATCTGACCGAAAGCGCATACCCAATGCATTTTGGGGATCTGACTGGGTTCATCTTCTTCGATACCTCCCATGTTCTTGGCATCGTGTGACCTTTGCCATCCGGCTGGCAGCAACACATGCAACAGGAGAGAGCTAGACACAAAGATTTTCCGGGTTACCCTAAACTAAACCCGAAACCCGCAAGATTAAACTCAAAGCCAAGAACATAAAGTCCTGAATACTAAACACGCGAAGCCCCTTAAGGCGTTCCCTCTAGGCCGCCGAGCTGGCGATTCTGCAAGCCCATCCTTTCGTCATTCAGAAGTCCAAGGAGGCGGCTCTGCGTTGTTTTTACTGGTTTTGTTGATGTTTGGCTTGCTTTTGGGGTTGTTGCCTTCCAAATTTTGGTTCTGGGGTTTCAGGCCTCTACTTAAAGCATCAGGGGAGGCAGTAAGTAGATAGTTGGACACATAAAGTGCGCTTGTTGAGGCTATCCTACGTATAAGAGAGGTTGTACCCTACTTGCCCAGTCAAATTACACTCCCGGCCCGAGACATCATACCCTAAACCACAAATCCCAAAACCCTAAAGATCTTAAGCAGTGAATCAGAGGTTTTGAATCTGCCGGGTTCTTTAAGGTATCCCAAGACTCCACTGCTCTTTAATAAAGCAAGATACCTTAAAAATGAGTTATCGAGAGAAGCCCGATAAGCCAGACTGAAGGTATGTGCTTCAGTTACAAGTGGCTAAGCTCGTTGGTTGCCTTTCCCGCGAGGTCTCCGCCGAAGCCCTGGCACCGGGCGTCACTGCGAGGGCGGAGAACTTCCGGCTCTGCGTGCCCAAGTTTTCGAAGTGGTTGAAATCTTCGGAGACTTGGCTGACGCGGTTTTGCCACGTCTCTTTCTGGATCTGCGGCTGATCGCGGATACATTTTTTTTGTTCACGTTTGCGGGGCCTTGA